CGAACCAAATGCTGTGGTTGGAGAAGTGAAGTTTTTCCATCTTTCCTCAAATCAGAGCGCCACCCCTCAATGTAAGTGCACACATGAGAAGAGTGCACATGCATAAAGTGTCTAGAACAAGACAGGACAAGAATCGCCCCACCTATTATAGCGGGAGGCCCAACCGGGGAGTGTCAAGATCAGTAAGGCTTAAACGTCGAAAAGTGATAAGCATAGAGAGGACAGCGCAGCAGTGGCACACGAAAGGGGGGCAATTTATAGGGGTCACAGGGCTGTCCAGCCTCATTAGACGGCTGTCCTCATGAGATTACGGCGAACAACTGATAAAAGCCACTACCAATAAATGATGATCCTCCCGCCATACCTTTACATCACGGGTATCAAACTCAAGGCCCGGGGGTCATATCTGGCCCACCACATTATTTTACGTGGCCCGCGAAAGCTAATTCTGTGCATCGACTTCATATTTCCGGCTAAAATACCGAAATTGCAATTTCTCTTCACTTTTAAAAATGGTGAGATATTTAATAATAATATAATAATAATACATTTTATTTGAAGCGCCTTTCACAACACCCAACACCAACACCAATATTTCAAGCTTGTTTGTTCCCAAACCCCCTTTTTAAAATAAATGCAATATTTGAACAGTTCTAACTGATGCCTGAATTCAAAACTAGTTATTCACCAGTTTTGTTGTGATCAGCCCTCTGAACAAAAGGAAACTATCAATAATCTCCTGGGCTATGCTGGCTAACACACTGCAAAGGATTGCGGGCGGTGGATCTTTCGAACCAGGGGCCATGTTTCACATGCTACAGTTACAGGTACGGGTGCAGTTGTATCACAGACACACACACACACAATAAAACACACAGATGCAGTCCTTTAAATGCTAATTGAGGAGAAGTCTTGCTAGATTTGCAGTCTCGTATTTTGTTAAAAATGTATTTGAAACTTGAAGAAATTAGAGGCCGACCACCACCCAAGGATGAAATGAAAGGTTCCGCTGTATTTTGGTAGCTTTGACAATTTAAAGAGAATTCAAAAGTAAAAAAAAAAAAAAAAGTGTCAATGTTGCAACTCTGTTCCTAACATGAGCTCTCACAGTGCTTAAATTCAATCAATTGGGCCACTTTCAAACCTGAGAGAATGCATTGTGTGCACAGAGGAGAGAATTGTCTTCCACTGGTCTCAAAAGAGTTCAAGTGAAAGTTTATTGCTGCGACTTGGATGCAGCCCCATCGCTCCCATTCCTGCCGAAAACCCATGGTGACCACAACCCTCAATCCCCTCGTTCACCCCACCCCCGCCTACTCTAAAAAGTCTTACAAATTGTACAACTGCTAGACTAAACTTTCCTTTCCACACTTTGCGCCAAATTACATAAATGCAACAAAAATGTTCAGACACTATCTACAGCCACGATGGTTCCATCTGCTCGCTTCTAATATTATAAGGAACAACAACGTCTTTATTTCTCCTTGTGAAAGAAATACACACTAAAAGGAAGTGAAGAACAATTGCTCAGTGACAGACACTTGCATCCCCCCGCTCGCTCTGGCTCAGCTACAGCCCAGTTTACATAGCAGGGAGTGTACAATACTGGCTTTTGTCTCACATCTCACATCGGCAACGTTTCAAGAACAAAGCTGCCATCAAAAAGAATTACTCATTTCGTCCTAATATTGATTGCTATTACATCATATTGAGTTCTTCAACCTTTTCGAACCCAGAATTCATCCAGAACAAGTACGGATGTTCAGTCTGTAACGTAGCCAACTCTAGAATAACGGCTGTTATTTGCACAAAGCAAGAAGAATTATTTCCGCTTTGAAATGCAGTGACCTTGTTTGACGGTGATACAAGTACATGACAGAAGCAATGACAGACCGCTGCAGTTAACTATTGACAGGAGAGGACATGTGACTCGAGTAAGAATGGCGGCAATTGCGCAAGTCATACTCACTGTGCATGTACGGGCTTGTGCGTGTTGTTCAGGTGGGATGCATGTTTGCTTGTCAACAACATTGAAGAGTTAATCATTTATGTTTTACGATTAAGAATAAAGACAAAAAACAAAACAAAAAATGTCAAAAGCACACGTCTGGAGAGGGGGATACAGACCAGATTCTTCGCTTCCAGTTAATTTACTGTGAAACAAAAGAAAATTAAACATTTTATTTTAAAACCAAGCTGGTCAACCAAATTGATTCCTGTAATTTCATCTAAGAAAGCTAGCTTAATACTAATATATAGTATAACGTAAAACACTACAGGCAGGCGCGACGAACAACTACTACTTTAATACAGTATCACACATGAAGCAGTACAACATACAATACCACGAGCATTTTTTTTCTCTGCTCTGTGGGAATGACAATTATTGCTGCAGCTCAGTAGGGGACCTTCTCTGCCTCTTCTTCTTGCTCTTCATTATGCTGGTTCTAAATCCAGTGGAGCTCAGTGATCCCTAGCATGTTGTGGCGCGACATAGTATTACGTTAAATACCCATAACTCTAAATTCTGACTTTTCTGTATAAAAACTCAAAAATAAAATGAGCATTTTACTGTTGCAGATCTGTTTCACTGCTCTGAGGTTCTGGGTTTGAATATCAACTCTGGCCTTCCTGTGTCGAATTTGCATGTTTTACTCATGCTTACAGGTTTCTCCAAGTACTCCTCGCACATTCTTTAAAAAAAAAAAACAACAAAAAAAAAAACACCCATGTTAAATTCGCACTATCAATTTTTTTAATTGTTAGGTTTGGTTGACCCAATCCATTACAAATTAGTTACAACTGGCAACCCACACCCACAAGCAGAGTGACTCTCGATTAATTTTTGAAAATAAATGTTTACTGTACCTGAATATTATTTAGTTGGAAGACGAGTGTTCACCACTAGATGGTATTGCTTAAAAGGAACTCCATCCCCAAGAATGTACTTTTTCACCAGAAAAGTGGGTTTAGAAGGAAGCCAGACTAAATTAGATGAAGAGAATTGTGTCATTCAGGTAAGATAGGAAGCATCTCATTTTTTGTGTCACATCTGGGCAATATTTAGAGTTAATATGTATAGATATGTCATTTTTATAATTTATAATTTTATCTGTGGTTTTATTATTCTTGTTTTGGTTGTAAAGTGTCCTTGAGTGTCTTGAAAGGCGCTTATAAATGAAATGTATTTTTCTTATTATTATTTTACAATATCTGAAGAAAATTTATTTTTCATTTTTCACTTTCTATTTCCCCACTTAAAATAATATACCAGGCTTACACAATGACAGGTTCTTAAAAGAATACCGTTTACTGCTTTATAAAAATACATTCAATTTAACACAATTGCATGGCCCTTTCGAAAAATTAATTTCCCACCGGTATGGAACCCTATGATCAGATATATAATCATACAAACATGACATATGAAAGGATCCAAAGATATGCCGTTGTCCATTACTTTTATAATGAGATGTCTAACCATACTTGTGTTATGTAATCGGACAGGTGAAGTACAAGAGGTGCCAACAATTGCAGGTGAGCAAACTACAATTTTACGACCGCAAAAGAACATGAAAGGGCGGCTTGTGTAGTTGACCTGTGGCGCGCCACTGATAGAGTTAAGACAGTTTGAGACAGAGGGAGGCTTAATTATTGGCTGACAAGATAAGGAAGGTGCAATGCCTTATGGCCTGGTGGGGGTGTGCAAGAATGTCGCTGTCGCGAAGCCAAACACTATAATTAAATGAAAATACTCCTGAGTAATTTATTTTGATGATTAAAAAGAATTTGACATCTGAAACATCACAGTATTTTGCTTCACAGCATGACCTGTTTAAATGTTGAAAACAACTTTGCCTGTTGTATAATAATTGTTGGGAAAAAAAATACTTTCCATAGCTTCACCACCTAACTTTCAGATTGAAAGGAATGATATGTAAAATTGACTACGTAGTTGCTTGAAGAAAAATAGTTGGACGGGTCTCTGGAGTGCCATGGCACCTATCAAGTGTTAAATCACAACCAAATACTTTTTTTGGTAAGTGCCAATGGGAGTGCCGGTGAGAGAACATGTAAATTCCACACAGGAAGGCTCTTCCTGAGATTTGAACCTCAGAACTGTGAGACAGATGTGCTGAACACCAATCAACTGTTCCATCCATGCATAGTCCACTGCCTTCAAATCGAAGAAAAGTGCTTTTTTCAAAGCGGCCAGACAGCTCTCAGCTCACACAGTGTCCCCTGAGCATCACCTTGAGATTACATTTCAAAGTGTGGTGAAGCAATTTGACATTACCGACACCTGAAGACACAATCGATTGCGCTGACACTTACTGGTGCACGCAGTTCACAGACATCATCTCCCGTTTTGAGGGATCACAGAGAGAAGTGGACAGCAATATCTCACAGTGTTCAGCTGCCCAACTCCCTGCTCTGTGACCTCACTGAAGAAGGTCGTCCAAAAGAAAATGATCTCACAAAGACGTGAACACATTAGAAGTGTGGTGCCAAATGCCACTTGGGTTGTTGCTACCCCATTTCATTAAACGTCAGTGAGAACATAATGACTGCATCTTACTGGGGTGTTTCCAATATTGTGATTCTCTCATCTACTGTAGGTAAACAAACTACAACTACCAACAAGACAGACAGATAGATAGATCGATAGATCGATAGATAGATAGATAGATATGTACATAATGGCCAGTAGGTGCACACAGATTTAAAAGCAATACAAGAAATTACGAGATTTGCAACTGTATTTTTAAAGAAATGTTTCATTTGTTGAAAATGTCGCATAAAAGGCCAGTGATGTTGAACCCCTACCCCTCATACGTATGCATAAAAATCAAATGTCCAGTCACCAAACGTTCGCTCAACTTGTAAAGCTAATGTTAGCAAGCGGTTTACGTGCGTTAGCTTGTTACTAGATACTGTACTTACTTGCACCTATTTTGCATGCTCCTTAAAAGCGTGTGATGGCGATATTACTGAAATACCTCAATTTTGTCGACATTCCTGGCACAGCCGACCACCCTCATGCCTTGTTGGACGAGTGCCCTGGTCACAGCCGCTCCAATGCCCACCGAAGCTCCGGTCACCAGGGCCACTCTGCCTTTCCACCGCTCCATCGCCAACAACGCAGCACTCGCCGGCACTGGACAGGAACCGTAGGATTTTCGTTCCGGCTGGTTCCGACAGACACTATGACGTATTTTGGTGGAATGTACGCCGCCCTCAATTTCTAGGATGTTTCAAGATACTGCCTGAGTACGCAGCATCCAAATGCGGGGTGGCACCGTTGGGTGAAGGAAGATCCATGCGCTCCTCTGAATGACATGAGCCCTGATCGTGTTTAATGTTTGCTTCACGTCGCCGCCCACTTTCTGCAACGACTCTCGGGCTCAACCGTTATTCAAGGTTTAGTAATCTTCCGCCACCTACCGGAATTAAAAACATTGCATTGGACAGTGTTCTGCAAGCTGCTCGACTTTGAACGGCGGCAGGCTTGCTAACTCGATTCCTGTTCTCCGCCACCGTAGCATCGGAAAATAATTGCGTTTTTTGGTCACTGGATCATAACTTCACAATTAATGGTAATGTTTCTTTTAATACAGACTAAACAAAAACATTAATCGATGCCATTGATACCATTTGAGTTTTATTCAACAGAAACAATTTTCAACAGCACCACTCATTTCCCCCAATTGATTGAATCACATTTGTAAGTTAAATCGTTAAAGACCATACAATTCAACAGTGCAAATGTTAAAAAATACATTGACAAGACAAAATGAATGTGGATTAATAAATACTTTATTAAATTTTCACTCTGCGTTTTGTCACAACCCATTTCTTATTTTAAACAAATGTTTAATTCACTATATACCGTAATCTTTTTGTTATTTTTTTAATTTATTTTTGGACAGTGCAAAATTTATCACCATGCTTAAGTGTCACCTAAGAAAACATCAAGCCAAAGCCCTCCTGTCACACTGTGCATGTCACGGCTCACAATGATCGATTTCAGTTTCCGCTGTGCTCTTATCCAAAACCCTTGTACAAGCACCACCAAGTCACATGGCTTGGTCAATGAGAATCTAAGGGTATGAGGTCGGAAATCAGAGTCAGATCATGTAAGCGCAAACTTGAGATCAGATCAGACACCAATCACATCCATTAAAAAAAATAAAATAAAAAAATCAACAAAGAATCAACCAAAAAGTTTGTAAATCTGAATCCAACCTGCATTTGCAGTAGTCACAATGATTTTCCTTGAGGTATCATTTGTGCACTTAATTCACACCGGTGGTGACAACAGGCCGTCTTCCTGTCACTTGCGCAGCAATAGTTAGTAAATTTATCTTTCAGGAGCTGTCGATACTTGTGACGGTTGCGGTAGAACAGACTATTTCTTTCTAAAAATGCCTGAATTTCATCCTGCGTGAGACAATGCTCCTCATCTGAAGTTACTTCAGAATCATCCTGCAAGAAAAGAACAACCCGAGTCAAGGATTTGACAACACTAAATCCAGCTAGAGGACTGTCACTTACCAAGAGGTCCGCTAGACTTTTGTTGGCCTCTAATGGTCTGGAATCAAGGCTGAGGTTCTTTCCACATGCCCATGGTAGCTGTTGTGCAAAACAGGCCATCTTCTCACCACACAAGGAGGAATTTAGATCTTTGGTTTGGCTAACGTTGGATGGTGGCACAGTGTGTCTTTCATATGTGTGTCCCTGTTTACATATTTCACATACTTGGGTTGGTCCACTGGCTCAAGCCAACACTTGGAACCCATTCGATTTCACTTACCTGTTTATGACGTAAACCACTTCCCTTCCTTTTCTTCTTTTTACCCTTGCATTGAGGCTTATTATCCTCAGAGTGTGGCCAACAGTCAACACAACTGTCTGTTGCCTCCTCCTCCTTTTTGTCTTCAGCACAGTCGTGTTCATTGGACTCACCTTCAGAGAAATGATGGAAATACAATGATCAAAAGGATTTCAGATGCAGCAGTTTAACGATTTCAAAAAGCGGTTTATATCTGACCTGCTTCCTCATGGTTGCAGAGTCCCTCGGAGCAGGCGACATCCGAACCTTCTCGTGACCCGCCCTGACTGCCCTCAATGCTTGAGGAGTAGCCGCAATCACTCCCAGCAGAAATTGAAAAAGGATGTAGAATACACACTTGTTTCCCTCCTTTACTTGTTAATGTGAGTTTCGGGTGATTGGTGGTTGTCTTGTGTGGATGTTGACCCTGTTTGTCTGAACAACTAAAGGATTTGCATGCAATAGAAGGAATTTTCTCCCCCTCATCGCAGGCAGGACAAGTACCGTCCTCAGACTCGAGAGACCCCTATAACAAAGGGAAAGCATGGAGGTGCTCTAAGACAGGATTTGACATGAAAGTGGCTAAATTTACACTGCTTTATCTTACAAGAAAAAAAAAAAGCAGTCAGTCCTGCATAAAGCCTTCACTTATGGTGAAGAGGAACTTCATCTTGCAGTTTTCCCTCTGCTCTGACCCTCTCGGTGCATACGGTGATGCTAAGTGCGCAACACGCACACTACATTTCTAAACTCATTCCTTCCCTTCCACACAAGTTTAATCTACAAACTACATTTCTAAACTCATTCCTTACTTTCCACACAAGTTTAATCTACAAACAGAACACACCATTCCCACTTCCCTTAGAGTTTCAGTGGTGGAAGGGTGCACACTCAGTAGTTTGAAGCATACATTGACACACATACGCTCACCACTGACGCAACCAACATGATTGACATGATTTGTTCTGTTTTAACATATGGGTGGGTTGAATTTTATTGTTACTGATTGACATCATGTTACTTTTTTTTTTTTTATCTCGGGTTTTGGACAGGTGCGAGACTGCTTTGACCGCCCTGCGCATGTTCTCTTGCAGACTTGCAGTGTAAATCCAGCCAATGCATTTTTAACTCTTACCTCATCAAGATCCTTTTCCTTGATCTCTGCTTCCTGATCCAAGATGTCCAAGCCACACCTGTTTCTGCGGCGATTTTTCCGCTTTTGCCTCTTTTTCTCCTGCTTAAGCTGTTTTGCTCTCTCCTTCTCCGACAGCTCCTCGACTAACTGCTCAAGCCTACTGATCCCTTGTATCTTCTCCACTGCCATCTAGGGACATATGGTTCTCCGTATTAGCAATTTTACCACAATCCCAAAGCGCAGTTTGTCAGTTTCGTGGACACCAACTCAATAGCTCTCAAAGCACGTACCTCAAAGCTTTTCCGCAACTCATCAATGCCCACGTGGAACAATATTTGCCACGTCTGCTCCTCCGCTCGTAGTTTCTGCCAAATCTTATGCAGACGCTCAGAAAGGTGAATGCCTAAACATGTCAGGACTTCTTCCTGTGCAGTATCAATGGTCTTGGCATGTCGCCTTCTGTAATTAAAAGGACCAAACGACACAAAATGGCTCAAATGACAGATTACACAGGTTGTCAGATGAGTAACGTTCACTTACTCAGAGGCTCCTACAAATTCAGGTTCTGCCCGGCTTAAGAGACGAGCAATAAAGTCCGTCTCGTAGCACACCTGAATGTGGTGCTCACAAGGGCAGCAACACAATCCCTCATACAAGGCAGCGCAATAGTCCTTCTCCTCACTGCTATCAACTTCCCCGATCAGGATATCGTATGCCCGCATGACTTTAGTCTTACAGTCAGTGCACAACCTGAAACAGAAAAGGGAGTTGTCTTTTCAACGAACACCCGAATAAAGACGGTGACATTTTGAATATAAAGGGTGTCAGTCAAACATTACCCATGTTTTTGCAAGTGTGTATCCAGCGTCTCTAAAAGACAAGCACAATCGACGAGTAACACTTCAGCCCTGCACTCCTGAGACATCCGCTCCCACACATCCATCCAACTTGCCCTGGAAGTGAACACAACACTATTATCAAATAAAATTAATACATACTTCAAAAGAAAAAAAAAAAAAAAAACTGGCACAGAGTAGAGAGCAGTGACTGAATGAGCACATGTTTGGATCTTGATTGCTAAAAGGAGCTTTCATCTGGAATTTCACCTTGACCTAAAGCAAATAGGTAGCAAAATCTTGGAAATATTGAATTATGATTATTGAAACAATAGTCAATTCTTGCTCAAAGGATCTCACCAAGTTACATATGTGATTCAATTATTCAGGGTGAATGACATTCACTAGAAATGAAAACACATTTTGGATGTTAGAATTAGGGGCCCACCGATACAGATTTTTTTGAGGCTATTGCAGATTTTTGACAATTTTATTTTTTTTTTTACCGTATTTAAAAAAATATATAATGCATAAAAAACCCACTGCATTGTAACGGCAACCATTTTCATGTGTGTGCGTTACCAGTAGTTTATGTCATGTTAAACACATTAATGTTGCACGACATTTTCATTGTATTCTTTTTTTAATTAAACAAGCTTGGACATTATGTTGTGTTTTAATAGTGACATCCATCCAGCTCATTCCAACTTTTTCAGTTGGTCGCACCAACACCCATTCAATATTATCATACGAGTAAGTAGATGGACCACATATTGTAATTACCGTCAGTAAAATAGCAAAATAGGGCAAACCAATCTCATCCCCATCATTCTTCTTGATGTATGTCATCTTTTATAGATTAATAGAAAGCCCATGTTATTCAGAGATTTGCTGCTATTAACGTTGCAACACAGGAATTTGCTTGCACGTGCACACACCGAGACAGAGAGAAGAGAATGTCCTTACCGTGCAGGTCTGAGCTTATTTGTGTCCAAGGAGTGTAACTGGCATCGGGTGCTCTTTTTACTTTTTGGAATGGCATCAATTACATCATTCAACTTTGACCTGTTTAAATAAAATAAATAAATACACAACCGTCACCTAACTGATATTAAACATGATTTTATTTTTTTGGTAGTGTAGATACGAAACAACCCAAATTTGAATTTGAATTAATAAACAAACAAATGAATTCTTTTTGGACACATGTTCACATGGAGACTGT